TAAAATCAACACACTAACCCATGCTAGGCACAGCCATACCAATTCGGCTAAGTAGTACTTGAGGTATAGCATAGTACGGCACCGTTAGCGAGGATCCCAACTCCGTACCTTTTTCGTCTTCAATAGGTATACCAACTGCGAATTCGCTGAACTTATTTCATCGTGATCGATGAGTATTCTAATCAGATAATTTTGATAAGAACTAAGAAGAAAAACCCACTTGCTTCTCATCAAAGGGATGTTTATTGCGTTTGCACCAGCCACAGCTAGAAAAGGAACTAATGCTCCCACAAGTTTTGGAACTCCCTAAAGAACTCCTACGAACAGAAGGCATGATTTAATCACATGGAAAAGATGAAGGAGGTTAGTAAGAAAAGGGAAACGAGATAAGTTAATACAACCAGATTACGTTTTATTTACCCAAGTATGGGACAAGTAAATGCTAACGTTCTACTTTTAAAAAATTGAAGAAACAAAAACAGTTTGCAGCTTTGCTTTGTAAAACTTATGTAATCCCTATTAATCGTGTGGAACTAAAAAGATTACTGCTTGAAGAGTGATATGCGTTCACCTCGGACTAATTGTGAACGCAATTTCCTAGCCTGCTTCGTGTGCAGCCAACACAAGCAAATTCTAAGCATTAATAAATGAGAGGGGCAAACTCGAAAGAAATTTCCAAAAATCGTGGCAAAACAAGATTTTCCAGTTATCAGCAGCTTGCCTACAAAACTCACCTTCCTCTTCGCTAACCAAAAGTTTGCACCAAGAGCTGTAGCCATTGCACCTGCCGTCGCAGCGACATACGAAACAAACAGTCTTTCTTTCGATATCTCAATAAACAAATTTCAAATCAGAGATTGAAAATTTCTGCTTGGAAATATATTTAGAAATTTACTGGTTTGGGGCCGCTTCGATTTGTATAGTTGACGACAGCGTTAAAGGTCTGGTTAATCCACTGCCAAAATATCACATGGGGAGTTCTTAAAGATTGCAAACACAGATTACGAAAATTAAAAAACTACAATTCAAAAATGCTACAAAATCTCTAGCCTATACAAAGTTAAACTACGTATGTGAATTTGTAGTGCACATTCTCACTTTTTATAAAACGTTAGCATTCCACCAGTGATTGTCATATTACAGGGGACCTGAAAGGAACAGTCATCAAGCAGATTTATAAAATAAGCATCAAGTAAAAAAAAAAGAGAAACACGAACCTGTGCACTCATTCTTCCTATAAGTATCATCTTCTCACCAGTGTCCGGATGGAAAGCAGAGTCATAGATTTGTTTTGCTCGCCATAATTGATCCACCGTGAGGTCTTTGTCGTACACACCTTTTCTAAGCAAGAGATACATTCTATTATGAACTCAACTCACAATCAAGCTAGAGAAGCTCACCTATAGTCGAGGACTATTTTTCTGCTTTTTTCTAGTACTTCATTGCTGAGCAAAAGATTCAGAGGGTTCGTTGTGGTGAAAAAATGTTTTGCTCGGCCTAAAAAATTTAACAAGGGAAGGATGCGGAGTCGCAGTGGTGATCCGCCAAGAGATGTATACCATAAGAATCTCTATCAAAAATGTATCCCAAATCAGTTTTTCATATCTGCTGAACAACATTCTGGGAGGAACTGCATGCGTTTTTTCCTGCGCAATTTCTGCTTAAAGCTTGTCTAGAAGAACTAATTCGATGACACAGAGTGAGTGGATGGCGCAGTGGTAAGTATCTTAGAGAACGCCCTTTTACACCCAGGTTCGAATCCCGCTGGA